CATCGTTTAATTTCTGTTGTGCATAGATTGTTGTATAGAAGATATTTTAAAGTTATTAATCAGGTGGATAGATAGATAAACCGATATGTAGCGTCATCTAGTGTACCTAAATTCATCTAGACATTTTCATAAAACTGACCCGAGAAACGGGGGAAACTCGATAACCCGTGGCCCGATTTTAACGAAACTTGTTTTATTCTGTTTCTATTCTCATTTCGTTACAAATATGGCGGTACTGTGTGCCGTTTTTGCTTTATTTAATGACAGACAAGCCCACAAACAAACAATCTCAGTTTTAGTAGTATATATAGATAGAAATAAATATTGCTCATATATATGTATATAATATGGTTTATTTAGATATCAAGTTGTAAATACAAAGGTACAAAAATCTTTAAGCTCAAAGAATCTATACATAATTAAAACAAACATCACACTTCTCTTACTAATCTATATGTTGTACTTTCACACAGTTCGACAAACAGTTTAAAATCTAAAAAAAATATATATATATTTACATAGAATATTATTCACAGCACACGTAACATTTGAACACATCCAAGGACTTTATATTCTTTACTTTTGTTTAAAAAATATTCAATAATTATGGATGTATAAAACCATTTTTTCCATAGTTATTTTGGAAATTATGATGTGAAAATGAACTAGGCACTATATTACATTTGATCACATTTGATAACCTACTGCTTGTACATTTTAGTGCATTAATATTATTGTTTTTACTATGGTTACAAAAACAAAACAAAATTAAGTGACAGAGAATAGCAACTCTGTTCATTATAGGACTTCACGAACATTGTTGTGTGTACTTAATATGTACTCGCACACAAACGAAATGATCGAAAGCAACTGAAATAACTTTTAAACGAATTTCATACATATCTCTGTATTTAACGGACAGATAAACAAACAGCTATTTAGAGAGATAGGCGTGAGACTCCAGGAGTAAATATATATTTATTTATAGTAATTGAACAGAACACATACTCTTTTACATGAAATTACGTTAAAACACAGCCTGTATGATTATTCTTAAAAGCTAAAACATCTAGTCATATAGAAAATAAGAAATAATTAATATTTCTTAAAATAAATTATATACAACTATAAAATAAACTAATAGACACACACACACACACGTATGAAAATGGCTGCCTGCATTGTATACAAAAAACGTACAATCTTTCTCAGTATAGGAAATAAAAATACAAAACTTCCCATTTATTATAACCGATATGAAAGAGAAATCTAATTTATGTAAGATTTTCAATACTAAATATTTGAAGAAATAATAGTACAAGCAACCACGCACGAAAGGACAAATGGAGAAATTTTCTATCATGCCCTTGTACAGTCAATTGAGTATAAACCAGATCTGAGGAAGGAATATTTAATAGATACTTAGGAAGTCTGAAGGTTTGTAACAGTTTGGAATTTCGCACAAAGCTAAACGAGGGCTTTCAGTGAAAGACTAGAGGGAAGACAGCTAGTCATCACCACCCACCGCCAACTCTTGGGCTACTCTTTTACCAACGAATAGTAGGATGGACTGTCACATTATAACGTCTACACGGCTGAAAAGGCGAGCATGTTTGGTGTGACGGGGATTCGAATTCGCGACCCTCAGAGTCGTGCGCCCTAACCACCTGGCCATGCCGGGCCCGGTATTTAAGAGAAAATGGAAAATAGCACTCATTTCTTTTTTGTAAAAAAAAAAAAAAAAGAAAGAAATGAGTAGGAATAATCACATATTACCGTAGGTATGACTTGAAAATAAAATTGTTGAGTTGAAACACGTGCTTATCTTTAGTTTGAAAGGGAAGTCAATTAATCCCTTGACTTTAAATATTCAGTCGGTTAAGTATTGTGAATATATTGTTTTTTTTTTTATCGATTGTGAAAATAACACATCTTTAATTTTTCATTTAAGTAAACTTCTCATTTTCGTGGCACTTTTCTTCTTGCAGTAATTTCAATAGCATCATTTATGATAATTAGCATATTTTAAGTGACACTTTTTAAATATCACTGGATTATTTTTAAGATATTTCTATTTACACAGGAGCTTTTGCCATAATATTTTAGTTACTATTTTGTCAATACGTAGAACAAGGAGAGGAACACGCTTTTTGTCATTTTCGCGACGTTTTTTTTACGTGAGTACAACATGTTACAGGATGTTTCGGGATATTTTTTTTCCTTCGTTTTGGTCTCCAAACGAGAGTCACAGTTGGCCTAGTTTCTTTTTATGACGTTAAGTAAAGTTTACATAATACAAAACTTTTACTATCCTTTACATTCCAGGTGAATCATTCTATAAATTATCCGACAACATTTGTGTCCAGTTCTTTATATATTTTTATACCATCAGTAAAGCATAACTGCGTTTTATAATAAACTTTTATTTCTTAATACTGTAGGCAAGACAGCAATGTGTGTGTGTTTGTGTTTGGAGGAGACACACGAACTTAAATCGATGGTTAAAAGTAAATTCATCGCTTGCCTAATTGGCGATGAAATCCAGTTTGAATGTAGCATACCGATGAGACTGGTAACCCATCAATTACCCTGGACGGGATGCCAGTCCATTACAAGTTAACCCCCAACTACCCGCTGTTACCCATTATAGATCGGGGTAGATTGAAAGAATTGGAGTTAAGAGTTTTGTTGAAGGTTACAACAACATGTCGCAAGAAATCATCGAACTTGTAACCTTCCGATTGCGAGTCCAAAGCATTAGTCAGTGGGCCACACTACCTCTATTTCAGTCGATAGGCCTAAGTAATATACCTTAGCTTGTTCTGTATTCTATAATTATTGCTTTTAATTTAATTATAGCTAAATATTTTATAGAAAATAGAAAATTCAGAGTGCATTTTATAAAATCGCATGTAATTTGATGTAAACGGCAACATATTCTTCTGATTTCTGCCTTATTTTCAAAAGAAATAAACTAACCACACGTGATCATCTCCATTTTATGTTTAAATATTGTGTTAATAGTTAGTATAAAAATTTAAAAACATCTCTTTATATAAACAAGAAATGCATAATCTGATATTATTTACAGGATTAATACTTTGAAAGGTAGATAGCAACGTGTATAACAGCTTTTGAACGATCAGAAAAAAATGTATAATTTAGAATACTGTAAATTGCCGACCTAAAAATCAATCGATAAATGTTAACCTCTTAAAAAATTAACTTACACATAAAAACACAAATACCCGGACGGTAGGACAACATATACAAAAACCCTACAATATTTAGTAATTACATCGAACAGGGGGTGCTATGGTATTTGCATCCATCATTATTTAGATTACATTTACTACTAAAAAAAAAAAAGTTTCTAAACTGGTAATTTTTGAAGTCAAATATTTATTTTTCAGGTAGCTAAAAACAAAAAAAAATCTAACCTATATTTCAATATCACCAGGATGAACTCTGACTCAACTTCGTAGTAATTATTTAATTTCAAACTTTAGTATTTTCATACCCAAGTTTCTGGGATTTACCACAATACTTATATCAGTTCAGATCTAACTTTGTAACAACGTTTCCATATATCACAGAGACAGACAGTAGAATGAAATCGAAAGAAAATTGTCAAAGGAGTAGTCACATGAGTGATGATTGTCCAGGCCCAGAAGCCGTAGAAATGCATCTGAACAGGATTGGAATCAGCTCTACGAGTTTCTAAAGTGTTGATAGACCACATGGCAAAGTTGCAAACCAGGAGGAAGGTGACCATCTCTCGGCCAGGTTTCCTTCTCATCTGGTCACTATTTTTACAATAGCGTCGGGAAGTATCCAGAATGAAAATTGTCTGTAGTGTGGCTTGGATAAGGCACGCTATTGCTGTTAGCAAAACCAACACTGTGTTCTTATCCATTGTGAAATGACCACCAATAATACTGAACATGGTGAAAATGTAAAGTCCACTCTGAGATACAATTAGCAAAATGTTATCCAGCTCAATATTCCTGTAAGGATTGTATCTTAGCTCTCTTATTTGTATGAAGGCTATAATCACCACGAGTGACGTCAAAATATATAGAGCAAGTTCGAAGATATGAGCTTCCATGACTGCTAAATTCTTGTACAATTCTTTGTTGATGAGGACAAAGAACAGAATTAAGCTGATGATGGCCAAAACCAAAACAATAATGCCAGTGAAGAGGCCCTTGTTAGCTTTGGTGCAGTCCACAGTATAATGGTGGCGATGTCGAGAGGAATATGAACCATTACTGGTATTCTCGACGTTAACCGTATTTTTCCCGATGTTTTTCCACATAACATACAAAATGGCAGCACAGATCAAACTGTATTCGATTGTACAAGGAAAAAGAAATGGGCTAGCGTCCTGCACAAGTTCACCCATAATGTTAGATCGGCGACACTCATGACTTATGTATATTCCGTGTTCAAGCGATTTTTCAATACTATGATGGTGAAGGTTCTGATGTCCATTCACGGCCAAGTGATTACTTTGTTCTTCCTTCAATTTGTGATGATCATCAGCTGCATATGATTAAAAAACTGGCATCAGTTAATAACAACGAAATGGAAAACAAACTGATAAAAAAGTACATTTTGTCTATCAAATATGCTAAGCATATATATCTTTGAGAGCAAACTTTCCATAAAGTTCCAAAATCATTGATATTAATACATGTTATTATACATTTCTTATTGAGATTACGTTTTGGTGTGAATGCCTTTTACAAGCTGGTGAAGTATGACATTTTTAAAAACAACATTATCCAGCCCCTTAGGGCTTTTCAAAAATTAGAATATTATTCCAACCACACTGTATTCGCCATATCTATTACCGTGGACGCGTTTCGCCAAGTCCAGAGTTCTTCAGGCCAGCTAAGATACAACAAACACACTAGTAGTTGCAACACTATTTATATAAGCTATTCATTGCAACGACAACTGTTATGCTATGAACGCCCTTTACAAGCATTTTATTATTAATATGAGCTTATGTTTCTTTATATTTTCTTACTTCAAACTGCATTTTAAAGAATTATATACCACATTTCTGACTAACAATCTTGTGTTATATAATACTTTACTTTGTCGAAATGTATTCACTCATCTTTTATTTTCATTTGAATTGGTTAGTACACAACGAATGTTATTTTGTGAAGAAATCGTACTATTCGTTTTTTACTTGTGTAACTATTATTGTTGTGAAAGTTGGCTGCTGTTTCACAGGTTAAAAGTAACAATAAAATTTAATGAAATCCCTTACAAGCGAAGGTACTATTGATAATGTACAATGTTTTAGACTTGAACTCATAATAAAGTGAAATACGCGACTTCTTGACGTCGAGAGTTTACTCAAACGAAACGTCGTATATAATAAAGATTTTATAAACCAGTGTTTTTCCACACTGTGTAGCGTTCCCCCTGGGAAGCGTACTGGTGGCTGGGGGAGAGAGGGAGGGGGAGCTTTTGGCGGGAGAGCCCAAAAATAGTGACGGAAGAAACAGAAGAGTTGGAGACGACGATAACCTAACAAAACTATTACTTTGCTATCAAAGCTTTTCTTTGCTCTCGCATTTACTCAGTCCTTAAAAGCATTTTTTTCATTAAAAAAATAATGATTAAAAATAATTAAAGAAAAATGTTAATTTTTGCTGTTATCATTTGCGAAACTTTCAATGTGCAGGAGGGCACAACGGAAACTTTGCTGAGTTAGGGGCGCCGTTATTTGAAGTTTGGAAAACATTGCAGTTTAAACACAATATTTCAGTAACAACAGTGTCAGTAATAAGTAAAGTTATGTTTAAGAAATATTCACGACCTTGATCTTTGGCTAAAACAAAAACTTTAATTTTTGTGTTTTGATTTTCCAATACAAGGGGCTGCAGGATAAGCCTAAACAACTCTTTAACTTTCTATTTGTTATCCACCAGTAACGTTTGAACCGATGTCAAAAGAATTATGTTGTGTACTTTTGAATTGTTGCAAATTATTAAATAGGTAATAATGCTATTTGTTTTACTCGCTGTAAATAATTTATGATTCGATATTTAAAATATCTATAATGATATTTCAATTCGAAAACAAATATATATTATTAACCAGCTGGAGTATCCGTCCCCTGGACGGAAGTTATGTAAATGCATGATTAATAAAAGGTTATCTTAGGACATGAAAAGTTGCTTCCCTTATGTGCATTTGTCAAAAACACAAAAACGTCCATAAAAACTGCAAAACACAAAATGTGAAACCGCAAGTTTCATGTACCTCTGCATAGACTCAGTGGAAGATCCATCAACAGGGGGCGAAGTAGTGGTTAAATACCGCAAAATACAAAATTGAAGATTTGTAGGTATCTTCCCACGGACCCAATGAACCTCCATACCAAATTTGGTGAAGATCCATCCACAGGAGGCGAGATAGTGGTAAAAACGCCCATAAAAACCGCAAAATGCAAAACCGAATATTTTTATGTACCCCCGCATGGATCTAATGAACCTCCATACCAATTTTGGTGAAAATCCATCCACACTCTGCGAAATAGTTACATGGACATACAACAGACAGTACTATTATACTTATTACTCTTACAGCAAACACAAGCAGTTTTTTTGACAAGTAGCTCGTGAAAATAAGTTCAGTAAATAAATATTATTTTTAAAGTGATGTTGGTAAAAAGGGTTGTATTTATATATATATATATCACTATTAATACCTAAACAACTTTAATGGAAATGTATTTGCTGAATATAACTCTTTCCAAAATTAAATGTGCAGTAACAACTTAGTACAGCGTGACACTTTTGGAAGAGCTTTAGAGAACTAATCTACAAAGTAGCGCAAAAGGAAGAAGACGACGTTTCAGAAGACTTCCGAAGGTTCTATCTAAATCATGTATAAAATCTGCATCACACATTGTTTAAAGTGTGTGCATTAAATATTTTATTATAAGTTTCTCCATAAAACCTTTACCCTTGTTTACTGATAAAGTTTGGAATTTTTGTAACTACCAACTGCCATAACTCAGTTGTCAATTATGAACCGAATGATTAGGCTTCAAACTTATGTTTAAAAAATTAGATGGCTGGAACTTCTGTGTGAAATCCACATAATGCATAATGTTGAGTAACTTTATACTCAAAAGTAAATAACTGACGGAAACGATGGGTAGAATTACTCATTTTCTGTGTAGAATACATAGGAAATCCCTACAAAACATTAGTGGATTAACTATAATAACTAAATGTATTTTTGCTTACATTTTTTGTTTTACTTGTGCCGTAATCAACAGTCATGAATCTATAAACAAGTTAAGCAAAATAGTTTAGAAACATTTGCATAAAAAAGACCATTGATGATTGAGGTCCATACCCATCCGTAATTCTAAGTTTAAGAGTCATTCTTTCATTGGCTGCGATGTATATTTCAAGTGTTTGAGAACTTCAAATATTACTGATGTGTAAAAATACAATATATATATATAAAATGTACCTTTTACAATAAAGTACTGTTAATACAAGTGTTTGAAAAATGCCAAATTATTTTTATAATATTCTTGTAAAGGTGTTATAAATACATTTTAACAATATGACTATTTTTAAGTACTTACCAAAATCTCCTTTAACCTGCAGTACAAAAGATGGAACCTTCGCTGTGTAATTATGGTTTATGATTGTCATGATCTCATGTTTAGTCTCAGCAACAAGCACATGCAGCCAGACACAAAGATTAGTTGCAATCATGTGCATCAAACCAAACCTGGCTAATGTTTTGAACTTGTTAATAGCCATCTATATATAGAATAAAATAAATATTACAGGGAATAATTAAAGACATTTCTTAATTTACTTTACTGTTAAACAATTAATATGTTCTATAATAGTATAACACAATGACAAAATATCCACCACAATTTGCCGATTTTATTAATTGTATTATAACACTCATAATCACTATGCAAGTTCAGTTAGAAAGCTTTTCAAACCTGAAAATTGTATCCGAACCAGTTGGCAACATTTGTATCTTTCTGTTAATATATTTGTTTTGTATTTTGTTCAAAGCTTCATCTTAATTACTCCACTTAAATATCACAATAGTAATTTATATCAAGCATATTTTAAAACTCAAAATGAGCATTTTATAAACTTGTTCTTTTCTCCTAAAATATGTTATGTGATGAGTACACACTCAAATGTTATTACAGTATGGAAGTCAGTCTGTATGACTGCTGATATCAAAATAGGAAGCTGGAAGGCAAGTGATATAGTACTAGAAAGCTGGCAAAAATCAGGAGTACTGTTTTAGGAAAAACAAACATGCAAAAACTGACTGTATTTAGGAAGTCCGCTAATTTTTTTAATTTTGCTTTTAGTTTTTTTATCTTAAACCTTATTCATATACCTACAATATGACAGAATTTTACTTCTGGATTCATATGTCTTGCTCCTCATGGATAACCATATTTGGCAATTTTTCAAAAGTGCAAAATTAATCAGTTGAGTGGTAAAGCAAAAATACTAGCAATGTTTGCATTTTACTCAAATCTGGTAACTCCAAACAAACAAAAATCCTTGATAAAAAAATAAATTAGATATTTCTATTTAATTTGAAACATATTTCAATATGAACTATGATTGTTTTCAACTGTTTGTAACTTAAAAACAGAAAGAGAAAGCTCTCTCCTAATAACTTACCTTCGACAAAGATAGATAAAGTTATTTTAACTAATATCTGGTTTATTTGGTTGGTAAATAAAAAAAACACCAAGGAAAAAAAGTGCATGTGGAGTTTGTGGTTGCAATTTATAACTTGCCAAAGTATTCAATTTTCACATGACTAGTCATCGTTGTCAATCATAGTAATGCTGATTCTTTTTTTCTACTTTTCACTAGTGTAAATATGTATAAACTCAAAAGGTGAAATACTATAGTTTCTCTTAAATTTTTGAGCAATGTTTTTTTATATAGGAATACTAGTTACAACCCAAGAAAATTATCTTGGCTTAAAGTTTTTGACTGAAAATTTTAAATAACCTTTTTTTAGTGTTCAAACTATTTGTATACTTATATTATAAATTTTATGTTGAACACCTTTTAAGGTTACTTGTCCAACCTGTTTCTTTATAACTTTGAACTGTGATAATCTAACAGTAGGGTTTACATTCAAGAAGACTGGGTTTGAGAGATTTATGGGTAATTCCTTACCACTTTATTTTACCAGCCTTCCCAGATATATTTATTACACAATGAATTTCAATATCGAGGAGCTCTTGTGAGTAGTCCAAGATTGCACTGGTCTATATGCGATGGTTAGTGTGATTTAGCAGGAGAATGTGAAGTGGAATAGCTTTGCTTCTTGTTTTAATTTCTCATTCTTTGGAAAGATATGGTATGGTCTAGTGTGCCTGGACTGTGAAGTTAAGGATTCATGGTTTGTGACCTATTAGTGCACAAACATGTTGAGCACTTTGGGGTTGAGGATGCGCTATAAGAGTGAAGGTCACAAATCCAATTATTCAATTACATAAGAACAAATTATGAATGCTATTGACTAGCTGTCTTCCCTCTAGTGTATTACTTCAAAATTATGAAGTGCTATACATAGATAGCCCACATGTAGCTTTGTGCAAGTATTAGAAACAAATAAACAATCTTAAAAATAAGTTTGGTCATATACTGCTCCATGCTCTCTAACCATCATAGCATTGCATATTCAAATGGTTGGGATATTAAAATGAAACAAATACATACAAATACAGACAATCTGTAAATTATATTTTCAATACAAACTAATTTAAGAATGTTCACATGCTGAATTCATTGTTTCTATTCTTTTGTTTGGATAAGTTAACACTAGTAAACATAATGCAACAGGAAAACACATCAAACAGATTACTTATATAAATGGAATACTGACATGAAACTAGAATTACTGCTTAACTCTGCAAATTTTTCAATATAACCCATATTCAAGGAACTGAATAAATATTCAAACCAAAATAGGGTAGTTTAATATTTCTGTGAGAAAATGAATAAAGCAGTCAATTTTTTTTCTTCTGTCTTACCATAATGAGGTATTGTAAAAAACACATTACATATCTCAACAAAAAAATTTTGTTCAATATTATAAGACTTGCATACTGAGAAATTGCAATACAAAGCAAGTGGTAATTTTCAGACCTGTAAAATAATGACATTATTTCTACAACAAAGAAATTAATTATGATATCTCTATACTGTACATGTTATACATAAAATTCAATATCAAACTTATGTGTATTTATTAATGTTCATTTGGTTACCAAATTAATTCATACATACCAAGACAGTATGTAGTTTATATTTTTTTACTGTATTGACTAGAATAATTGTATGCTTAAACAATTCATAGAGAAAACTAATTATTATTTCATTAAGTTGCAAAACACATAAAAAAGCAATTTTGAAATGTTCATTCTTAAGTTGCAAAAAGATAGTAGTTTCTAAATAATGAATTACATTGAATTCTTGATCTATATACACAAAATAATTTAATCTTAGTTTTGTTTATTTTTACCTTCACATAGGTACAAAGTCTAGCAATTGACAAACAGAATTTTCAAAAGTTCCTCAAATTTTAAAAAGATTAATATCTCCTGTCAAGCATTAATCTAATTTAATGACATAAATAAAAATGAGCTTCATTATCAAATTAATATAGCTCTACTTACAACAGTGAACCTTAAAACATGCAGTAAGTAAGTAAGTGCATTTCATAAAATAACATTTTCATTATTTCACAAGATAGATATACATCTCGGCCCATTTTTCAATGTGTTTTTTAATTTCTATTATCAATATATGCTAATTCATTGAGATTCAATTATTTTCAATATTAGCAGTGAATATTTTACTTCCACACAACCATGGGAAGTTAGTGATACAATAAAAACTTAATTGGACTACACACACCCTTTTAAGTTTCCAGAGAGCAAGATTGCTAGCCAAATTAAATCAGATCAAGACAGGAACACACCCATTTCCCATCACTGTCCCAAAATATGTTATTAACATTTCATAGATAAAAAGATTCTGATCAGAAGTAAAAAACCCCAAAGAACTATTTATATGAAATACACACACACACACAATAATAATAATATTTAAGACTTTGTATCCAGTGGCTATTATTTTTTAGTTTGGAATAATGTTTGAATGATAACCATCTAGCAAATTTCCAGGAATACACAGCAAAAAACAGTGTCATAATCAGTGTAATAAACATGTATTAATGCACCAATTTTGAGTCAGGTTCCAGTAAAAGGGATGCTTTGCCAAAAAAAGTCAAATTGTTTGTTATGTAAGAATTATTACCAAGCATCTCTTGAAGGTTTTTTTTAACTTTGAACAAGTTATGGAGCTAAAAAGAAGCAGAAGCAATGTTCTGGAACAAAACACGTAATTTTTAGTCAGAATATAAGTAATTATGTTAAAATCCAAGAACAGATTAAATCAAAAACACTTAATAGAACATTAACTATATATTTTTGGAAATAAACACCATATTAGCAGTTTTTTTTTTACATTATAATCACCACCATGAGTACATCAATGCAGAATTAAATTAGCTAAAGTCAGATGGTATCACGGGGATAGCCAGAAGAGGGAGGGGGAAACAACTACCCCAATATCATAAAAAAGTAAAAGGTTCACTTAGCCAAGAAATTTGAAACTTGGCAGCTTATCTTTGTGAGGTAATCTAAGCTACTCTTTGTTTTTGCTCTTATTTATGTTTTGAATAATTTCATTTCAAAAGTTTCATTTAGGCTACGGTACATCGCTTAGATTCTTTCTGTAGAAGTAAAGATCCCAATTTTTTTGGAAAAAAATATCCAACCATGACTGTTGTATTGGTTATACCCCTGGGTGGAATATCACATCAGGTAAGTATATTCAAATGAAAAACGTTAAGAATTGTTAAGTGTGGAAAGATAGAGGATGTAAACTAATTCTCTCATTTAATTGAGTTGTTTTTATTTTTAAGAAATCATGTTTCAAAAAAAAATTTTTTGAAGGATAATTTCTACTCCACATGAAGGCATACTTTTTTCTATCCATAAAGCTCTTTTATGTTAAAGTTGTAAAATTTTTAATGTTCTAGAAATCAAAATATCTTGAACATCCCTAAGACTGTGTAGCCTATTACAAAATAAAAATGTTGTAGAGCCAATTAGCCACATTCTTTTTCTACATCTTATTTTTAGAGCCCATTAACTTGTTAAATTTAGAAAATAAATTAGGTCATTCTTACAATAAAAAAAGTATAAATAATCATTGTTTATTGTGAAAATTATTATACAAATAAGTATTATAGTATATTAAATACCTATTAAACAAGATGAATACAAAACAGTTTTGAGGTGAGGTTATGCTTTTCACTCAGTTCTTATACCAAGAAAATTTTAACTTTACATTGTAATTAAAAGTACTTTATTGGTACACAAAGGTTTGGTGACTAATGTACAGAAATACTGTATTTTACACCAGACCTATAAGTTTGATATTTGCTTGAAATATCATCACGGTTTTATAGTACATGGATGTTAAGTACCACACCAAGGGGATGTCTCATTATCCATTAGTCAGTTGCCTCTAACTCTGTAAGTCATAAAAATGTTATTGTAGGAACCATAAACATCATCTTTTGAGGATCACCCTTTAGGATCTTTTTAAGGTGTACAAGAGTGAGAGAATTCAAACAATACTATTTGTAACAAGAAAAGTGAAGATTCACTCTTAGCTAATGAAATAAAGAAGTTGGTTGCTTAAGATTGGGTGATATATTGAGTAAACATTAAAATAAATAACTAGCATGTAAGTGGTGAGAAGTAGAAAATTTAAAGGAAAGTCTCTTTGATTTAAACAGTTAAAACATTTCAAAGCTTTTATGAATGTTTGTAGGTAGATCTATTTAAGGCACTACGCACTCCTATAAGGATAACCAGAGCATTGAGATGAGTATTTTTTTTTTATGAGAGTTTCACTGTTACAGAGACTTCTGTCAGTTTTGTATAAACAACATGATACTTGCAAGTGTAATATTCATTCTGTAAGATATATATATCTGCTATGCACTACAATATCTAACAGTTCTTAGGACTTACTGTGTGGGAGGTGTCAACCTCAGATATACAATAAACAGGTACAAAATATCACTAGCACTTTGAGCCAACTGTTTAACTGATAATAAATTTTGTAAGTGCTAAATATAACTTCCACCATTTTCATTTTTAATGTTGAATAAGTGTAGGTTTTATTAGTAAATGTAGATATTTTTTCATGAAATACAGCTATATAAAATACTTGTTTTGTACTTACCCTTGAATTAAGGAAAATAAAATATAACTGAATGAAGGTGAATGCCATTCTTGTGCTGGGGGTTAGACCATACAAAATGTTGTAACAGTGGGACTTTTTCTTGAGCTCAAAAAACTGTCCAAACTCTAATCCGGAGTAAATCATACTTCCAATTCCAAAAGCTAGAACAATAATATACATGTGTTCGTATATAGTTATGTTAATATGGCTCTAAGGGTTTCAATCAAAATCAATTTACTAATAAGTTTAATCTATATCTATGTTAAGTGAGATTCAATAAAAAGGTTTTCCACAGCACTATTAAGAACAAATTATATCTAACAGTGTACAGTCATACACATAAATGCAAAAAGTTAAAAAAGAAAAGTCTTACAGAATAAATTCAAGGAAATAAAGAAACAGTGAAGATATCACAGAATGTTTATCTGTAATGCTAACTATCCATTATCATTATGAACAGGTATAAGTAAGGCTAAGTCGAATAAACTTGGCTTTCTGATAGCCAATTATATTTTCTAGACGTCAAATGCAAGAAGTGTTTTATACATGTAACACCACAGCATAATTTGTTGTTATTTTTATTATGCTTGTAATTCAAAGCATTTCATTTAGTATTATTGAAGAACCAACCTTTCATTGATTTCTAAAGATTTTAGAAATATTAAAATAAGCTATGAATAAAATGCATAACAGCTATGTAACAGAATGTTATTCACTATGATCATGATTATATAATTAATAAGTAAAATTATTATATTTTATGTTAATTGAAATTTCAACATAACTTTAACGTTTAAGTAATGTAAACTTACAATCTGAAAATACCATGTCAAGCCAGTGCACAGCTGTTTTAAAGAGAGGGTAATTCTCCCCTGTGGTTCACTGTGATTTTTTGTGTAATCCAAAATAATAATTATTTGATTTGGAAAATGTACAATTAAGTAAGCTATAATTTTCCCTGAGGATTAAGGTGAACTGTATGGCTACTAAAAATCGCAATACAAGTTTTTCACTATTCCATGCAGTATTGTAGTGGTAAAAAGAAAATGCAAAGACTAACCATTTTTGGTGGTTAGCAGTAGTATGTTAAATATAAAAGGTTAATTGAAAAGTGAGTAAACTTACATTACCTTTATTTATTCTCAACTATACTACTATACATGATATCTAACATTTTTCTAGGGTTTGCAAAATTACCTACAGTTAGTTTTTTGACTCTTGTAGGTTTTCAACTCCCAAAAGTAGTCTGTTAACTGGAATGTTATAAAAGTTTGAAACTAATGATACACTTCAAGTTTATAGCTTTATATGGCTTTGTGTTTCAATATGACATCCTGAATGATGAAATTCAATAATATTGCAAATAAAACACTTTTTTTATTTCATGCATTGCTTGCTAAGCTGGAAAGACTTGTTTTTAGTAGCCCAGTGAGTGAATGTAGTTTTTAGTTTTTTTTGTTCTCAGTCACATATTTTGTAATACTGTATCTTCAAAGCATTGTGATTTATTTGTAATGCTTTGTGTATGCTATTAATACAGTAAAATGCCTGCTAATTAAGAATAGCAAATGATTAGTATTTGCAAGTAGTAATATTTTTAGGTTTTAAACATGGTAAAAGCATAGACACTGAAATTTTAAGATACCTTAAATTACTATCAAAAGTTCTGTAGCAGTTTGGTGATTATTCAAAGCACTGGTTTCTTGCGCTAAATCAGAATCTTTTTCTAAGTTTGTAATGATACTGAACATGTTTTGAGACACTACCACATTACAATCAGCTTGTGCATGTTGAACAATACTTAAACTGAATAAATCAGTACAAGATTTGAAAATTAATTGTTTTACCAAAAGATATGAAGTCTAGAACTGATAAAATGGTAAAACAAATTTTTACTTCTTTGCATTTAAATATTAGACTCCAAGAACTGCCTGTATTCATAACTCTATTGTAAGCTGGTGTTCACTCAAGCTAAATTAAAAAGAAATAAAATGGAATTATAAGAAAAGTTTACCCACAAGTTAAACTAAAATATGTTTAAACCTTCCACTTTGATTTAACAATTTCTAAATTGAGGATAAGATTTGTTTTCGTCAATAATCTTGTGTTATTAATGAATTATGTCACCCAAAGGGAGCTTATATCAGTTTCACAATAAGAAAATTAGGGAAAGGTATAAAAGGACACAATAATCCAAGGCCAAAAAACAATTCAAGTATTGGTAAACATAGAATAGTTGATTTTGATGTGGTGTTGTCTCAAAGCATTCAAGATCATTGCTAATACAGAGAATGATGCACTGCTAAGAATGAAGGAAAATCACCTGATTCAGCACAAGCAAGCTGTTCCCATGGCACTGCGTGCAGGTAAAGAGTCCGGCAACAAACATTTCGAACAAAGAAAAATGAGAATTCAATTTAATAAATTGTATAAAAAACAAAACAATGCCTACTGAAATTTCTGTTTTCTGTACAGGTAGGTTGCCTGATAATAAAGTAGAAAGAATGGTCAAGTGCTCACATCATCAAAGTGCTACAGAAGTTATATTACTAATTTAAGGTATTTAAAACGTTTTATGTTCATTATCTGAAATGTGGAAAATAAAGATATAACTTTAATCTTATGAATAACGTTTGTGACACTGGAATTTTTAACATTGTAATAAGAAGTGATAACAGCTGAAAGTATATCTGGACAAACATAAAGACTAGTTTATTTTACTTTACTATAATAAAAAAATCTAATTTATTATAACTTGCTGTTACTTCTCTGCATACAGACACAATATGTAAACATCTGTTGTTAATATTCATGATAATCTAGATAGTAACATCCAACATCAATGTTAACATATTCTTTACCTGATAATGTATTTGTGATAGATACTCACCTCTACACACAGTTAAGCTATTTTCCCTTTGTGTCTGCTTTAAAAATTTGTATACCACTAGCCTTTAGTAACCTCTCACCTAATCTCACAAGAATTCTGGTGAATTGTACTACTGCATAATAACATCATTATGCAGTAAGAGCCATCCACCAATAGGAGGATGACACACCTCCTTGTGCACTAACTCCCTTTATGCATTTGCACTTATGAATACTCATTCTTTGACCAAGCAAGGAATACAAAGGTACATCAGAAGTGGGGAGGATAGGTGAGAACATGTGTGAAGATGTCAGTATCTGTTGGAAATACATTTTCCGGTAAGGAAGATATTAACTCCAAGACAATGCCACACCTCTGCGCAGTAAAGCTAAAATTCAACATTGAAATGTGGAGAGGCCAGTGCAAAGAGTTACTTAGATGATCTCCCTTCAGAAAGCACTTAAAGAAACCTATGGAGTTGACACCCAATGGCAGAGGCTCCATAGGGGCACACCCATGGGAGACTGCATTTCATCTCTTCCAAGTAGGAGGAATGAAATCCTTTGATGGAACAGTAACTTGTAAGGTTAAAGCAAAAAAATGAGGGTATAGTAACAGGGGAAGGGTTGGGTTGTCAGGTGGCATAAAAAGGAGGAATCAAGGCTAAGCTGGCCAGAGACGTGCCACTAACAGGATGCAAAAGGTGAGTTGCAAATAATGGCCAGAATTTGAAGTAAAAGATAAAGAGGTAGGTATGCATAAAGGAAAGGTGAGACCAGTCCTGGCTGAAAGCAAAGACAGCCAGGACTGAAGGATGAGGAACAGGAGACAAAAAGTGAGGAAGCTTGGAACTGAGAGGAGTAGCAAGGCATAATTGAGTAGATTCCCCGAGAGAGAGAGCCCACCCAATGGAAACCTGGGGGTGAAGAGACCATTCTGTGGGAAGAATATGGTCTGGCTGAGAGAGATAATCTACAACCAGGTTCATAGTGCCCAGTACATTGCAGGCAGTAAGACAAGCCCATTGAAAATTGGCCCAATAAAGAAGGTCTAGGATTTTAAATCAAAGGATGCTGGATTGGGTATCTCTTGGCAGTTGATATAAGAAACCACCAGGGAGTTGTTGGAATAGATCATAATGAAATGATCCACAAGTAGAGGTAAGACATGGGAGCATGCCAAACAGATTGCCATAAATTCAAGTGCATTGATATGGGGGAGAGAACTCATCTTGAGCCCACGTGCCCAAGGTCATTCAGGGATGCTCCCCAACCAGAAAGGAAAGCAGAGAGGTGAAAAGGTGCAAATCCAATTTGGGTGAGGTAATGGAACACTGGTTGCAGTAATAGATTGGTCCAGTCATCAATACAGATCCTTGCATAGAGGAGGGAACACGTGAACCACTGAAGTCAAAGATTCCCATAAGTGCTTCCACTGACTGCACAATGACCATTGAAGGAGGCACATATGGACTTAAAGGGATAACCAGTTCCAGTGAAAGGATGGTCCCCAAAAGTGAAAACCTCACACACATTATTAGTAGGATAAACACAAATCCTGGTGATTAGTAGTTCCAGAGCTCACAGAAAAACATTCCTAGGTGAACAAGATAATGAGTGGGAGTGAGGAAATTTCGAAATGTTGATGAATATCATTTCCTCAAGATATTGTAGATGAATGGGATTGGAAGGAGGAGGAAAGGAAATGGGACAAGGACTGAGAGAAGGAGAGGAAGAGAACTGGAGAGATATTTCATGGTTAAGAAATAGAGAAACTACTCAGTGTACAGAAAAGTGTGACCACAGGTGCAAAAACTGCAACAGATCGACCCCCCCCCCCCACGGGATCTGACTCAACTTGGTAATCACCACTGAGTTTGATGAGTCAGATTCCAGGTAGTAGTTAAATGGGTAGAAGAGGAAAATTGAGAAGTCGAGATACAGCGGAGGGGAGTCGGGTTTGGGAAAGTGTGGAAATTAAGGACGAAAACAAGGATTAATGATGGACAGCTTCTGCTCGTGATTCAACTTGTACCTGGGCAAAGAGTATACCCTGGAGCTCCTGCCATCAGGTGTCACACTCCACGAGTTTCCTTCAAATATTTTCTGAAGGGAACTAATCTAAGTAAGTCTTTGCACTGGCCTCTCCACACTTCAACATTGGATTCTAGCTTAACTGTGTGAAGAAGTGTGGTATTGTTTTAGAAGTTAACATTTTCCTTACCTGAAAATGTATTTGCAATAGATACTGATGTCTTCACACACATTTCCACCCATCCTCCCCACTTACTGTGCACCTCTGTATTCCTTGTCTGGTAAAAGAATGAATATTCATGAGTGCAAATACATAAAGGAAGTAAGTGCACAAGGAAGTGTGTCAATCTCTTATTGGTGGAGGGCTTTTGCTGCATAATGACATCATCATTATGTAACAGCACAATTCACAATAATTCTTGAGATTAAATGAGAGTTCACTAAAGGTTAGTGACATGTGAATCTTTAAGATACATGGAGAAGATAGCATAACTGTGTCTACACAGAGGTGTGATATTGTCTCAGAAAGAATTATCAATGTAAATGAAAATGTTATACTCAATAAAAGATGATGATCAAATTTCGTTTATTATAATAAATGCATGCATGTGTTATAGGAGTAACTGTATTTAGAATATATTTATAAATAACAATCAGCAACAGCTCATTTAAGCTCAAGATTTATTATTTGACATAGGAACAATATTACAACCTAAACTTGATAATGAGAAATTAAAACAAATGCACACATAATGTAAAATATATATATATATATATATACATGTATATATATACATATAAAATCATTATTTAAAGTTTCTTAAAGGGTGTTAGTAATGCACAAATTACTTAAGAGCTCAACTTGTTAAGAAATTACCATTTACATTAGAATAGAAGAGGGTTATAATGTTTAACCTAAACTTCTGACTATAGGGTGGACACAATATGATGATATCTCAAAATAAATAGGGTGATGAATAGCATCAAGAATCTGACACTATTATATAAAATATTTAAAACATGAGCAACAGAAAAATGTTTCACTAAGTTAATATTGAATCATCAAATTGTATAGAGACATCATCAAAAAATTTAGATTTTATTGTTGTCTATAGGCATAAATAAAATGAGATCAAAAATTGGTTAGAGAAAATTACAATCAACTTTATTTACTAATGGAGATATGTATTACTATATTTATTCATATGAATGTATTTTTTTTTCAAAGGTTAACATTTTCTAACACTGAAAATGTATTTCTGCTAAGTACTTACCTCTTATCACTCATAGCTATCTCGATCTTCATTTGTCCTCTAGGCATTGATAAACGTTTTAAAAGCCCACCAGTCTTTTATATCCCTATATTTTTGGCCTCATTGCAGCAACATATGGTGATAATGTGACCACCCACCACCAATCCCATTGCACCCGTTATACTAGCGCACTACCCTTGCTGCACAATCCCCACTTTTGAAAACTGGCATATAAAAACCCGAAAACACCAGGAAATCAGTAGGGATAGAAGGATAGGAAGTGGGTAAGATGAGGTAAGTACCTATTGGAAATACATTTTTAGTACTAGGAAATGTTAACTTCCAAAACAGTACTACCTTCACTCCCCCATAGCTAGAATCTCACATTGGAAAGGTGGAGGGGCCGGGGAAGGCACCAAAATAAATAATCATGCAGAGAGAGACCGCTATAAAAAAATCAGGTGTGCCACAATTAAAATACTAGCCACACCTGTGGGGTATAGCACTACTTCTGGAACAGGTATGCTCTTCACCCAGTAAAGAAGATAAAACACATAGGGTGGAAACGAATAGAATACATGGCTAGAGCTAGAGGACCGTATATGAATAGGCCAAGTGCAGTCCTCCTGGACTGATATCAAGATAGCCAAGTGAGGTCCACCCAGGCAAAAACATCAGGGAGAAGCCCCTTGGTATACAATAGATTATGTCAAGTGTGGTCCACCTGGGCAGAAAACATCCAGTAAAAGTGCCTTGTATAATAGATTCCATGCCATATTGTGTGTGTATAATATGCAGCATAATGATGATAGGCCTCTCCTCATCACGTGAGTACATATGGCTATGAGATTGCTTCATTGTACATAACCAACTTGTGAGGAAAGTATAAGTTATGTCTTACAAACCTGTACACAGCGTGGTCACAAGTAAATAGACACCACCTTTTCAGAAAAAATTAAATTTTTCAGTCATATTCACATGAATTGATATATTTATAATTTAATTAATATCTAGTAGATCTTTCTTTTGCTTTGTGGAGTTCGTTGATCCTTTGGGGGCATCGTGAGAATCATCTCATCAATTTTAGATTGTGGGATTTTTGCCCACTCTTGCCTCAAAACTTGGAGTAGATCGCTCTTCGAAGTTGGTTTTTTGGTTGTTTCTTGACTTGCCGGTTGAGTATGG